GGGGGATGTGATTGGGTTTGTGTTCTAAAGTAAGCTGTTCCCCTTTTTTCTATGTGATTAATGACAGGAGACGGAATTTCTTTAACCAAACGTTTAGTATCTTCAGGAGGGGAAGGGTGTATTACAACCGGTAGGTCCAACAGGACTATTAAACATGGGTAAACAATTCCACGTCATGGTTGATCCAATCTGTGCAGTTCTTTCTTTAAGCAGGGCGACACCCAAAATCTCTCCCGATCAGTCGACTTCCTCATAGGGTTATTCCGCACTGCGTATATGGTCCCATAGCATGAGTGACATGCCCAGTCTCCTTTGTGCGGGGTCCCTCCAGTGGGAATAGGATCTGGACGCACCACCTTCTTCCAAGGACCCTTCCCCCTCAGGTAGACATATACTGTCCATTCAAGTGGATCTAATTCCCCTAATTGAACTTCTATCCCTGTCATTACTTGCCCCCTCTCTCACTATCCTTCTCTTCCTTTTTTTGGTAAAGTAAATATATATGGTCCTTCCTTTTTCTTCTGTTCTCCACTACCCCCTTTTCTCTCCTCCTCCTCTACTGTTGCTAAACTTGCCAACAATCCCCAGCTCTTTCCTTTTCCCACCTTTTCCTTCCACTCTTCAGTTACCACAAAACCCTCTACCATTGGTTGTTTTGCTCCCGCCTTTCTTTCCCTATCTCTTTCAGTTGTCTGAACTTCCAAAGTCAGATTTCAAATCATGGCCTGTACAGTATTCGGCACTTTGTCGATTCCTTCCGCCTGAGACGATGGAGGGGATGACTCACTTTCAGGTTTAACCATCTTAATTGGTTCCTCTTTACAGAGGGAATTATTGGAAAGTCCCTTTCTTTACAATTCAAAGCAAGAAATGTCCCTTTCTCCACTCAAGCTTTCCTTCAACTGCAAGGGAGGGGGGAAGGCTGTCTGCAAATGAACTGTGTTCATGTTGCTTTTGTGGAGGCAGCTACTACTAGTGATTTATTGATATCCCTTTAAAAATAACTTTAAAAGGGATACAAGTATAGTGGCCACAGTGTTCAAAACCAACAGCAATGTTCACTCACACTAAAACGATAAGGAATGAAGCAGTACATGATTGGTACATTTTAAAACAACTCTCTTGGTGAGGAGGAAATAAACTGATAGTCATGGAAATTAATCAATGTTAGTTGTGTGTCATGTGAACAGAAAATTTGAAATGATCCAAATAACAGCAAAAACTGTATAACTGGGGTTCTTTTGGCAAGTGTGATAGAGTCCCGAAGTATGCGCTTTAAATCATTGAAATGAATGTGATTAAGCATGCCTGATCATGCTGGAATATGGCCTGTAGCTTTAATTTGAAAACCAAACAAATGATTCATTTGAAAATAATAAAGTACTACTAGATGTGTGATCTTAGTAATCAATCCGAGGGTCAAGGACTTCTTTTTTCTTCCTTCTGCATACAGAGCAATACAATTGGCCAAAGTCTTTCCCTGCTAGATTTATTTGTCTTGCCTTAAGCCATCAAATATCAGCCATTGTTGGATAAGATACATAAGGAAACAGGGACCAGCACTGAAACATAAAATAGGTTTGCTTTTTGTCTGCTTCTAAATGTGATCTTAAATTGTACAAGTTTATATGAAGACAGTAAGTAATTGTATCTCTGTACAAGGAATATCACATACTGGGGAAAAAAATATGATTCTGACACTCCAGTAGAATCTCAATTTTATATTCTGCTCTTTCAAATTATACAGTTCTCACCCCTTCTCTCCCCTAGACCATGAGCTGTCCTTAAATTCAGTATGCCTCCTCTCCTGATTTTACAGTATTACCATAACTTAAAAACGATTTAAAATAATGCAACCAACATGGTCAGTGCCCATGAGAGTTTATTCATTCCTGTTAGATTCACCAAAGAATGAAGGCAAGCTCCTTTGGCAGACTGAAACAACTTCTTCAGCTAATTTGGGATCATCATAAAAAGGCAGCAAATTGTTTGCTGTTTTCGTGAAGGCTTTCATGGCTGGGATCTAATGGTTGTTGTGGGTTTTTCGGGCTCTTTAGCCGTGTTCTGAAGATTGTTCTTCCTAACGTTTCACCAATCTCTGTGTCTGGCATCTTTAGAGGACAGGAGTAGCACAGAGGACAATGCTACACCTGTCCTCTGAAGATGCCGGCCACAGAGATTGGCGAAACGTTAGGAAGAACAACCTTCAAAACATGGACAAAGAGCCCGAAAAACCCACAACAACCAAATTGTTTGCTATTTGATTTATTGTTATTCCATGTTTACGGGCAGGTTACAGCCCTTGTGGAATTTTCTATGTCAGGTGCCCCAGGTATTGTGCATTTTGGCTTGGGGACACACCAAGACTGGCAATTAACAATTTTAAACTAGACAGAGAATCTTTGTGATGAGAAGAGCCTCTATGGCTATACAGTGGTGCCTCGCTAGACAGTTACCCCGCATGACAGTTTTTTCGCTAGATATTGACTTTTTGTGATCGCTATAGCGATTTGCAGAACAGTGATTCCTATGGGGGAATTTCGCTGGACAATGTTTGGTCCCTGTTTCGCAAACCGATTTTCGCTAGACAACGATTTTGACTGCTCCCTCCGCACTTGCAAAACGGGTGTTTTCGGCACCTAAGCTTCGCAAGACAGCTATTTAAACAGCTGATTGGCGGTGCGCAAAGCGGCTTTCCTATGGCCGATCTTCGCTAGACAATGATGATTTTTCCCCATTGGCATGCATTAAACAGGTTTCAATGCATTCCAATAGGAAAATGCTTTTCGCTAGATAATTATTTCGCTAAACAGCGATTTCAGTGGAACGGATTATCATCGTCTAGCGAGGCACCACTGTAGCGAAGAACAGCATGATATGTTCTTACTCTTTCATTCAGGGCTGTTCATATGTAAGCCATGACGTCTTCTTACTGATATGCATTCAGCCGTTTCCATGAGTCTGCTTTTCACTGAACATATTGAGCTCAAAACATACTTCAGCAAAACAAACACAAGAACAGGTAAATATATATGGTCTTTCCTTTTTCCTTTATTAGATCATTAAGAAAATAAAGCGGAAAACAAAAAATAAAGTGAGCTTGCAATGATAATTCATCTTCCTCAGTCTGTACTCAACTTCTCGTGCGTAGTTCCAAAACAATATGCTTTTATTCAAGTCCCAAAGTCTCATGGCCAGCCAGATTAGCTTCTTAGGTGGAAATAGTTGCAGTCTGCAAGGGGCCTGTGTGGTGGGGAAGGGTGTGGGTTCAAACCTCTCCTCCACCAGTATTTTGGAATTTATCACCCACTCTTAAACAAAGGGGAGCTAAGTATTCTGAACCCCTCTCATACTTCATCAAAGAAGGCAGAGTGCACATGCACATACCCACAAGCACACCCATGAGGGCTTCTCCACAATATCAGATTTTCTGTTATCAGATTTTCTCTGCAATAGGGTGTGGCCAGCACTTGTGTGAATGGGGAGTAAAGCTGGGCTGATGGGGCGTATGTCTGGCACTTTTCAAGACTGCTCTTCTTTTCAAGGAGAAACTGTGTTGAGATGGATCTTCAGAAATGGGCTAAAAGCCTACAAACACATATGCTGTGTAAAAATCATTAAGTCTTTAAGACACCAAAAGACTGTTGTTTTTGCTTCAACAAATTAAAATGGCTACCATCCCCTGCTGGAAATCTGCCATGGATACTTGAAATCATGGATATAATATATATTTAATTTATTTATTATTTATTTATTTAATTTATACCCCGCCCCTCTAGACATTCATACAAGAAGGTGGGACAAAGGCCAGAAGGGGACACTCTTGTATGTTGCAATTAGCGCTGTAGTAAACGGCAGGTAAGTGAAACCCCAGATATCGGATATGGGGGTCCTAATGAACATGCATAGGAAGAATGCTAGTATGATTGGCAGATAGATAATAGAATATTGAATGCAGAACAGTGTGTTAATTGAGTGGCGTTGGGCAGGTGAGAGTTAATCAACGTGTTTTATTTAATCAATACATTTAGTCTATTTTAGGCAATCTGTCTGAGACAGCTATTTTAGAGTCAAGGGTCTGTGGAAGAATTTGGAATAGTCTTGTGATAGAGAGTTGAGAATAGTGATGTGTAGAAAGTCTGTGAAAGTACTGTACTTAGTTTGAATTTCAATATAAAGGTATATATTTAAATTTTTCAATCATTTTATCTTTTATCTCACAAACCCTGGAATCGATCTTTCCCTTCCTCCGACTTAACTCTGTTTCCTGAACAATACTCTTTTGTTTGTTCAGAACCAAACTCTCATGATTATTTAATTTTATGAGTAACTATAGAGATATTGAGCAGCCTATAGTAAAAAAAAATTGCATCCATATCATACAAGGCTATTCACTGAGGAGCTTAATATAAAATAGCTACCAGTTTGGGGCAAAGAAACTTTATACAAAATATGTGGTGGAGATTTCAGGGGTGCTTGTCCTTTTAGATGATGTCATCCAGGTGACCAAAAATTGTGGCTAGGTTAAAAGTGTAGGTGCCAGTGGCTACTTGGAGAGTGCGTAACCTGCCAGTGTGAAAATTAATGGGAAGGTTTCACAAACTAGAATTGACAATACCACACTAAATGGACAAATGATCTGATTAATTAAGAGGCAGCTTCCTATCTTCCTGTATTCGTAGTATCTGTAGGTGGCATAATAATTGACAGCAACAACAGAATTACTAGTCTGTTCAGACTGAGGGAAAAGGAATATTCCTAAAACCATGACACTTTATACACAGATCATGGTACACAATGAGACGGAAAACTGCTCTTTTCAACCTTGTACCCTGCTGAGGGCAATGAAACCAGTAACAGTTGGTGGAAAAGGTGTGGCACACCTAACATCCTAGTGAGATCAAACAGCCCCTTTGCTCTTGGATTTCCTTTTCTCTGTTTTGATTCATAGCCTCTTTTTCTGGAGTCGCTGATGCTTTGTCTTTAATCGTCATGTTTCTCTGGCAGATGTTTTGTTACTTCTTATCTTGCAGAATTATGGAAGAAAAGTAGCAGGATATTTGACCATCAAAATACTGCCCTTTCCAAATCTGCTGCCAGAGAACTCAGCCATTGGCATTTGACTGAAGAACAAAAAGGAACTAGAAGAAGCAGTCAAATCAGAGAAAGGAAAGAAGGCAGACTGCTTCGGCTAGAGAGAGAGGGATAAGAGTTCCTGAAAAAAGGTTCTTATGATGGAAGAAGTGGGAAATAATAGCACATTGGATCCTGACTGTTCTGTAGATCAACCTCCTTTCTCCAAAATAATATTGGAAAGTAAGTTTTTGTACACTCAATTTTTAACAACAGCAGTCTTTTGAGAAAAGATCCTCCATTGAGTGTTAGCCTGGGCAGATCAAAAAGAAAAGTGTGTGTATATTTAAGGGAAGCCTTTTAATTGCAGTTTTTGAACTGACCTACTTTTTAGATGATACTTGAAATGCAGTAACCTTCTCTTGCCTTCCTGGGAGGCACATTGAGATTAGTGGTGAATGCACAGGGTTTGGAATGTCAAGTCTGAAAAATAGTTTGTTGGCATTACATGTTGGAAATAGGGAGATTAATTCACTGCTGTTAACGTTTAAACTGAATTAATGCTATTTTAAACTGAAGATTTTAATCCATTGAATTAGTGTTTTAATTTGTTAATTAAATAGTAAATTCCAAATTAAATAGTGTGGTTTATACAGAATGGTATGTAGGTTGTCAGTGCAACTACAGTAGTACATTTCTTATTGGGTCCTTTGAAAGTATTGTTTTTGTTACTTTTGAATTGCCTTCTTCAGTCTTTTTTTCTCCCCATATGGACTACAAATCTGATAATAAAATTGTTAGCTAGGGATGGTTTTTTTCACAGAGGTGAAAAGTATTTGGTATTTGGTCTGCTTGTAGTGTAGTTGCATCCTAAAAGAATAATAGTGCCAAAATATAATTTAAATAACATTCCTGAGAAATTTAAAGGCTTTCTAAAGAACAGGTTTGTATTACTAAATTCAATTGACCACAAACCAGAATGGAATCCAGAGACATTATCAGGAAAAAAAATACAGAAGATTATTGCTGTAGTTGAAAGAATAGGAGAGCTTCAAGGAACAAATGACAGAACTCTTAAAATGTTTCACTGTAATAGTGTACAAAGCAAAAGTAGAAAGTGATATAAAAAGTCAAACTACTAAATGCAATTCTTCAACAACTTGTACCTATGATACAGACATATGACATAGAGGACTTTTCGTAGATGACTAATCATTGCCAAGAGGTAGGAAATGATGGAAAAAAGGAAAAAAAGAGGTCTTTTCCATAACATCCAAGAAATTAAAGGGAAATTTAAACCAAGATTAGGGATGCTGAAAGGTCAACAGGACAATATGTTGTCTGATCAAGATAAAATAAAGATGGAAATAATATACTGGAAAGCCAAACAAAAGAATAGCAAAGATGATAGATTCCTTCACAGGAGACTTTTTCATAAAAAATCCTACAATATTAGAAAGTGAAGTAAAATGTTTCTTCAAGGCTTCTAGAAGAAGGAAATCACCAGAAGTAGACTTGCTATCAATAGAACTATTTCAAGCTACCGGTGCTCAAAATTCTGACAGGAATGTAACAAGAAAACAAACAATAGGCCACAGTATATATTCCAATCCAAACAAAAGCAGACACCAAGGACTGCAGTCACTGGACGATAACTGCACTAATTTCCCATGCAAGCAAAATGATGCTCAAATTTTACAATATAGACTTTAACCATATATGTGCCAAATGTTCCAGCCAAGTTCAGAAAAAGAAGAAAAACTAGAGATCGTACTACAAACATATCTTGGCTACTAGAGGCTTACCTAAGAATGTCAAAAGAAAACCTACCTGTGCTTTACAGTAAACCATCTGCCTGATGTGACTGATTCACTGCCTAATGGTAAGGCCAGCCTTCCAGTTTTTGTTCTATAACAACAATTCCTCAGCTGTCTCCTTCCTAAAATACACTGGAGCTTTGCAACTAAAAGTGAGCCCTGCCGAAAGAAAAATAACTGGAATATACAGGTTTTGGGGCAAAACAACCACACTAGAACTAGCTAGAAACTCTGTGTTCTTTCCGAGTCTCTACCTTCTGTTGAAAACTCCAAAATCCACCTCCTTCACAATTCCTCTGCCTCTTTCCACCATTAGAAGGATGCCACCTTTTCCAAGCAGTGATGGGTACTTCATTCGCAACTACAAAGAGGTGTTCTGCTATAAGGAGAAATAATCTTTTAGTGTCTGAATACATGGCGTTTGTTCCACTGTTTGGTCCACTCCGGGGCCTGGCTAGTTTGCTCCTTTTACCAATGACCAGACAATGTAAGTGCAAGTGCCAACCAGCCTCACCCCAGAGCATTCCTACCTGCACCTTTCTGGCTCCCTGCCAGGGGCTACTTTTTGGGGGGTGCAGGTTGGATTGCTTGCTTTGGTTTGATTCCAGCATGTGTGATTGCTGGGATTGAACCAAACTGGCTAGCTAGCTGTCCCTTTGAAGAAGCCACTTAATTGGAAACAACCAGCTTTAATCATTTTGAAAAATTAGAAGCTTTCCCTTTACAGTATATTTTCCTTGTCATTCACCTTTGAAGGGGAAGAGAGGTAAAGATTAGTGTTTCTTTTCAGTAGTTGCTAACTGACACAGCAAATCAGTGCTGCTTTGTCAAGTCTTTAAAAAACCCTTTTAAAGTATGGCTGACAAGTTAGGAACAATTAAAAATAAATGCAAAACATCTCCCCCACCCTGCCTTCCAAAGGAGAGCCCAATGGAAGTTTAAAATTAAGTGGCTTTTCTTGAGAATTCTCACCCTTTAAAATGAAACAATCTCCTTTTAAAGTGAAAGAAGATCTTGGCTGTATTAAACAGGGTCCTTTGGGGTTCAGTATGATTTCCTATCCAATCTTAACTGACCTTAAGCAACCCTAGTTAGCCAGATCCTGCCTGCTTCAATTTGGCTATCTAGCCAAGCCCTTTGTATCTTTTGTTATGTTCCTTTCTGGACTATTAAGCGGCAGTCAGTTTATCCAAGGAATTATTTGCCAGGAGCTCTATGACTCTGGTAAATTGAACTGTAAGGCCCTTGACTATAAGTTAACTATGTTCTTCATTTTATTTTATTTATTCTATTTAAAAAAGAAGGCAAAGTACATGTTAAACATATCTGTTTGTTTCTAAAATACCGAAGCCAATTCACAACACCTTTTTATCCCTTCAGGCCTTGGTTTAACAGGAATATTGCTCTTTGCCATGCTAACTTTAATGACATTGACAGCCAACCTTGTGTTTGCTGAGGAGGTTTTCTACATCTACCGCAAAATCCCATCATCTAAAAGGTCGATTTTTATTTGGATAAATGCAGCTGCACCAGTAAGTGGAATAAATAAATGAAATGCAACATTGAAAGGCCTCATTTAGAGCAATTATTTCCAAAGATATAGCAGTTCACAGTAAAGGCACTCATGGGATGTATCTATTATGGCACTTCTGAGTTGTCCAGTTCTTTGGAAGGGAGTTTAGCTCAGTGGACTTGCATACATGTTTTGCTGCCAGAAGGTCTGAGGTTCAATTCCTGGCATCTCCCATTCAGTGATTCAAGTAGCATGAGATGTTAGGGACCTCTGAGTAGCAGCCTGGAAAACAGATGTCAGTAAAAGTAAACAATACAGAGCAATGCGGGCACGTAATCTGTCCTATTAACAACTTATACTTTTTCCTGAGTACTCAAGACTGCTTTAGCCTCACTGGTCTACAAGACATTGTGCTCATTCTGTTGTCAGCTCATTATAACCCGAGCCCCAATCCTGTTTTTCCCCCAAACTGGAATATTCAAGCCCTGCCCTCCAATCCCACATTAATTCCAGTGAGAGTTATGATGTAGGAAATTACTGTCTGGCTTGTGCCCATTCTCCTGTGGCTTCACATACGTTAACCATTTTACATCTAGTCTCATCAGAGGAAGCTTTTGTATAGTGTTGCTTGGTAAAGAAGCAGGGTGGTAGCGGAGTAAGGGAGGATCCTGCATCAGGCTGAACATGCAGCTTCTTTCATTCTTCTTTTGGGTCTTGTTTAACAGAGAAACAAGACCTCAAGGCAGATGGAGAGGTGGACAGCATATAGCGAATGCATGGAAAAGGTTACTCAGAAAAAAGAATTGTCTTGAAACGGGGAGGGAGATACAAGAAAAACAAAATATCCAGAGCAGTGGAATATTGGGGAGAAGAGGGGATATCGCAAGCCAATTAACAAGCTGTGACTGCCCCTCCTCTCCACAATTCTGTGAGACATGTCAGGTGTTTTATTGATTTTCCAAGCTAACTAGCAAGCGATGGCTCTCTTTTTCCCCATTTTATCTTCACGACAGCCCTGTGTGGTAGATCAAAGTAAGACAAAGTTGCACAGTGAATTTCACATTGAAGTGAGGATTTGAAGCCACGTTTCCTGGGCTCAGCCCAACATTGTAACCACTGAATGTGGTACAGATCTCATTGAACTCTTGGTTCTCAGCCAAAGGAAGTGGATGGAAAGGTACTGAGGCAAACCTAATCTTGCTCATGGGATGAGTGGAGTAGAAAGAATATGTATCTAAAATGCCCGGAGGAATGGAAAATTCGGGGGGAGGCAGTTGAGGGAATCTAGCTGAGATGCAGAGAGAAACAACAATTTTGAGAGGAAGGGAAACCAAAATAAATGAATGAAGAGCTCAGGATTGAACGACTGCACAACAGATTAGAAATGGGGGAGGAGATAATAAGGGACTGTTCTCAGTTTGTCATTAATAGTCAGAACTAATGAATAAGCAGGGAAAGGCAAGTGGCAGCTAGGCATTGTAGAATGGCCTCGATGGGATTTGGTCAAGCAAGAAAGAGATTTAAAATGGAAAGTTCCCTCATAATGAGGGAAGCTACACAACAGCACACTCACAGATAGGTCTTGGATGGTACCTGGAAGGTATATGGGAAGGGAGGGGGAGAGACCACAAAAAAGGGGGGTAAGCTAAAGAGTTCATACAGAGCAACAACTTGCCAGGATTATGTGGAAAGCACAATGCATTGATCGCAATAGTGCAGAGTTTCAACAATAAAATGCATTTGTTTTAAAATGGCATGATGCCAGCTGGAGAGTGTGGAGAATCCTCTCTCTGGACACCTTCAATGACTTTCCAGTATAGTTTCCCACTTATCTTAAAGAGTTCTAAAATCGATACAAATTATAATTTTAATAATTTAAAATTTAAAAAATTCTGAGAATGCCAAGGGCATAAAGGAGGAGACATTCCAATATCCCAATTTTAGAAAGACACTTTCCTATGTCTTATGCTTTTTCTATGGCTCTGATCAAAGTAAAAAAATTGATCCAAGTTTAGAATCAAGGCAGTGTAATTTAATCCAGTAGATAATGGATTTCATCCACTGCAATTCCATCAGTCTGTTTTAGTAGTAATAGGGTAAAGTTATCTCTTGCCATTTTACTACCTCTCTCTCTCCCCCCTCCCGCTCTCCAGGTGATAGCGACTACATCATGTATTGGGATGTGGATTCCTCGCTCCACAATGTTCACAGATTTTACTGCAGCAGTGTAAGTCTTCTTCCTCTGTTCTTAAAGCCTTTCTGAAGGCAGGGCTGCTTCAATTCTATAATTCATTAACATTAAGCAAATGTATAGTTATTTTGCAGATGGAAGATCTTGTTCTTGTTCCATAGAAGCACATTCTCTTATCAGGTCATGCTTTATGAGAAGAATAACTCAATCTTTGTTGCTAGTGGAGAAACTGCCAACTAGATAAAAGAACTGTACTGTATGTCAGTGGCAAGTGTGTGTGCGTGTGTGTGCATGACAGAGTTATATTTTTTTAGTTTATACTAAAAGCCCTCAGATTCCTTTGGCTGACAATTGAATTGAAGCAATACAGCAACAGAGCTCATCTACACCAGGAACTTGTGGGTTACAGTTTAGCAGAAAACATGTATAAGAAACTAGGGAAACTTCCCCAGTAAATGTGATCCTCTTGTGTGTCAAGAAAGACATTGTAATTCTGTCTTCTTGCCTCCAAAGAGCAGGACATTATGTCTATGATGCCTTCTTTACCAAATAAATA